CAGTTTGTTCATTTCGTAGGGAGGAATACGTGGAGTAGCTACAAGTTGGCCACGTGGAAGAGCCATTTTTAGAGGTCAACACTAGTTAATTCGGATAGTTCAATTGTTAACACAGATAAATACGATTGTAGTATATTAAGTTAAGTGGCTAATAATTAACTGCGTTGAAATCGGAATTCCTATTAAGTTAATCCCGTATATAGACATTCACATTAATTTAAATTGAAGTTCGATAAGATAAAATTGATAATAAATAATTAGTCTCTGAGAGTACGATAAATTCACTTCATTATTTTTTAAGATACAGAAGAACACGTGTGGTTTAGGCAAAAGAGTTTTTGGTGTCTCTTCTGGGGTGTGTTCTATTTACATTAATTTTAATTGTTTCTAGATTTAATTTAATTTTTTGTTTTGTCTGATAAAGTTTGTATTTTACTATGTTGTTTGTGCTTATAATCTAGGTTTAATTCTGTGTAAATTTTATATATATATAAATAATTATTTTTATTTTAGTTTGCATGTCTGTACATGAAACTTAACTCGATATTCAATGACAATATTGTTTCCATCCAGGATCAAAATCTGAATGGGTTCGTGTTGACACTTGAATTTTCATTTATTACTTGACTCCGTTTTTTATACTTATCTTTTGAACAATTGAGCATGATTTCATTCTCGATTGTACTTGTGATTAAGTTTGAATTAATTATGTAAGCTAATTACCTTATAATCTTTTGAGACCATAGTATATCTTTGTTACAATAATCAACCTAGTTGAGTCTTTGTTGAAAATCTTACTTAGAATAAATTTGGGATGATTGGATTTATCCGAAAAAGGCCTCCATCACTTAATCATTCTTTGGTCCTTGTTGGGCAAAAAATAAAAAATAAATAGATAAATAATAATAAAATAATAATAATAATAATAATAATAATAATAATAATAATAAAAGACATTACACTAGCTATGGCACATATAAAAAGTTATCTAAATTGTTGTATGAAGATAGTCTTCTTAAGTAATTGGACCCTAGTCATTACCAATGTTTAGGACATGATCTACGGGAAAACAAGGATACCTATAGTGTAAGTGAAAACTAGTTTCGAAAAAAAATAAAAAAATAAAAAAAATAGAAAAAATAGAAAAAGAGACAAAATGAAAAGAAATGAAAAGAAATGAAAAAACATTCCTAAATGTGTTGAGGTAGTGGCAAAATAAGTGTCGTCTCTGTCCAACTAAATCTTGGTCATCGATTAAGGGTTTAGATGGTGATTGAGTTGATGAAAATAAGCCCAAACTCACTTGT